CTAGGGCGGAGGGGCCATGGGAGCCGCCAGCAGCCAGCCCCAGGCAGCCGCTCCCCGCACTGCGCCGGCATCATTCACGGTCTGTCCAGGGGCAGGGGGTTGCGGGGCTGTGGCTGTGGGGGTGCAGCCTGGGGGCTGGGGATAGGAGTGGTCAAGTGGCTGTGGAGGGGTTGGGATTTCTGGGGGGGATGGGGAGTGCCGTACCGGGCTGGGTCCGAGCGGGCCCACCCCAGAGCAGGTCGCAGCAGGTGACCCCTGCTCCGCTGGCTCTGCAGGGCGGTGGTGTGGCGGCTGAGCCCGCCTGGCCCCGCAGCTGGAAGCGTGTCCTGTGCCGTGTGGGGAGCGCCGTGTCAGGGCTGGAGCGGGTCCTGGTGGCCAGGACTGAGGGGGCTGAGTCGCCGCGGGGGCCGGTCCCCACGGCCGAGCAGCTGCCCCGGCTGGTGCAGAAAGTGGTGTCGGAGTGGCCGCTGCCGCAGTGTGTGGCCCTCTTCCTCCCCGAGTTCCCTGTGCGGCCCCCCATCCACCAGCAGCAGCTCAAGGTGCGGGGCCCGCTGGGCTCGGGGCGGTCGCGTGGCCCCTGGGACCGAGTCCAGCCAGGCTCATGGGAGCCTCAGCCCGGGCTGTCCCGGCCTCCCCACCTCCACCCTGGCGCTCTCCTCCGCCAGCCCCTGGGGAGCAGGAGCCCGAGCCTCCCCGGCTCTGGTCCTGGTGGTTCTGGCCCCAGGCTCTCGGTCCTGCTCTGGGCCTGGGCTCGGGAGTGCCATAAAAATGTAAGACTTGCCGTGTTCAGGGTCAGGTGCTTGCCTGTCTCCTGCGTGGTGCGGGGCTGAGCAGGGCTTTCCCCTCTTCCTCTCCCTTGCGGCCTGCAGCATTTGAGGTCCAGGGAGCTCCGACACAGGCCGTGCCCCGCACCCAGTACCTGCCACTGCCCTTTCCCTCCAAGCACACGTCCAGCCCCTCTTTTGAACCCGGCTCAATGGCTTCCAAGCTGTCCTGGCACCAACCTCCGCCCTCTCCTCCGGCAGGTCCTGGGCTTTGTGGCCAAGGGCTCCTTCGGCACGGTCCTGAAGGTGCTGGACTGCAGGCGGGAGACAGTGGTTGCGGTGAAGGTGAGTGCCCGGCCTGCTCTGCCCTGCTGGGGCCAGGCCGTGCTGCTCCCGCTCACCCCTGCCGTGCCTCTCGCAGGTGGTGCCCAAGGTGGAGGTGCTGCGGCGGGACACCCTGAAGCAGTGCAAGGAGGAAGTCAGCATCCAGGTACCTGCCAGGGCTGGGGGATGCGGGGGCAGCTGGCTCCTCTCCCTGGCTCTCAGGTGCCCCCACATCAGAGGGGGGCTGGGCAGGGGCTGAGCCCCCCTGCGGGCCCTGCCTATTCCTGCCCACCCTGGCTCGGGTGCTCACGGGTGCT